GTCCAGGATGGTAGAATAAGGATTTCCTGCCTGAGCAGGGGGTTGGACTAGAAGACCTCCAAGGTCTCTTCCAATGCTGTTATTATTCTGTGTCTTTACACACACAAACTTTCAGATGTCATTTGTGTAAGCAGCACAGAATATCGGCCTTTGCGCAGAGGAGAAGGCCAGGAAGTGGAGAAGGAAGGAGCGAATCCTTGCTCACTTTTGAATGGCAGCTTGGAGCGTGGCCACATTCCCTTGGCAGCGATCCAGGATCTTCCGTGTTATGTTGACCCCCATGGAGTCAATGCAGACGTTGTCTGTGGGTCAAAGAGAAGAAAAACCAGGGTTTTCAAAGAAGCCAACTATAGCTGATGTCAATTACTTGCCTGGATGGGATACGGTTCAACGCGACCCATTTTTAATTTTATTTTTTGATCTTCCCCACAATCCGGACACCTTTAGCAGTCATAGTAATTAAGGGAGGGAAAAAAAGAAATTATAAATTAAGGGTAAAATTGCAACTAAAAACACGTTAATGGTTTCATTACTGGCCGTTTGGCTGAGTTCCCATCCATCCAAATTAAACTAAGCGTGAACAGAGTTAATCTCTAAAGCAGAGTTTCTCAATTTTCCCAACTTTAAGATAGCTGGCCGGGGAATTCTGGGATTTGAAGTCCACACATCTTAAAGTTGGAAAGGTTGAGAAATTCTGCTCTAAAGGAAGAAACTGGATCTGAACCTATTTTTCAGGCAGCCCAATTCACCTCCTAGACCGGATCGCTTACCCGCCCTTCTTATACATACCGATGTTATGAGCCTCATCGAAAACCACCACTGATTTCTTGGCCAGCTCCTTGGAGACCACGTCCGCAATCTTGGGATCCAGGAGATAGTGGTAACTGTAGACCACGATATTGGCATGGAGAATCTGATCCACGTGGGGAGAGAAAGAAGAACAGAGCATGACCGCTCGTCTTGGGGAAGGAAGAACTTCAAAATCCCCAAATGCTAATTGGGGGGGGGGGCTGGGCTTCTCCATCATGCAGGAAACAAAGCTTTGTGGGCTGCAAGGCCAGCCAGACGTCTTACTGAGTAGCGGGCAAGGAAGTAGGGGCACCAGCCCTTCTGCCGACCGTAGGCCTTCAGGTCATCCAGGTTATAGATGCCGTAGGGAAGAGGCACCTGGCGCCCATGGGCATCAAATTCCTGCAGGGAATCAGAGTTGAATGGATCTCCTTGTCCCGGGCTTATGAACGAGCCAAAATGGTTTTTGGCTGCTCAAATTCTCAACAGGGCTTTCTCACATCAGGAACAAAAGCCTTTGGACACACACGTTTGCTTAACTCTCCTGCCCAGTTTCCTGAATTTTTTTCCCCCGAATGACAGATTAATGGTGAAAAGAGAAGAGCAGATTTGGCCCACCTCCCTTTTCAGTCTGGCCTCTTCTGCTCCAGGGAAGGAGGTCCACGGCCCCACCCAGCCCTTCTGCCACCCAGGTCCCCCTCCCCAGGGCCCGGGGGGGCCTTGACTGTCTGCCCCACCCCCTTGTGCACTTCACCCCTACCTCAAAGAAGCGGCAAGAGGGAATGCTGCCATCCTGCTGATGCTGAGCCCGGATGTAGGAGGCAGTCAGGCTGAAGCACTTGCCGTCCACCTCCTTCCCAAAGCGCAGGCTGCTCACCTAAACAAGGAAGGGAGGGGAGGTCTGAGTGAAAGGGGCACGGCACCCACATTGCCCTGCCTTCCTTGCTGCCAGGGCATGCAGTGACCGTGGCCCAGAGCGGCCAGCGAACTCTTAGCAAAGAGAGCGGACCCAGAGGAAGACGACCACCCAGCCATTCTCTCTCCTGCCACACAGGGTTGTGGTGAGAGGAGTCAAGAGGAGGCCCCAAGCAGTGCATTTTGGCTGGAGGGCAGAACCACATGTGGAATGACAGGGAGCCGAGAGGGACTCCCCGAGTCTCCTCTGCCCCCCCCCCAGATGCCGTCTCCCCACCCCGCCCTTCAGCCGGCAGAGGCACCTCCGGGTGGATGCAGAGGTTCTTCCTGGAGCTGAGGGCCAAGCCCAGGAAGGGCAGCTTCTCCCCCGTCTGCTTCTGGTGGAAGTCCAGCAGCTTCCGCAGCTCCTCAATGACCTGGGGGGGGGGGGAAGAAGCCAGTAGTGGGCATGTGAGAGGCTCCCAGACGCCCCCCCAACCCAGCTCCCTCCCTCCCTGTCCAGACCCCCACCAGGAAAGCCCTCCTAGCCAGGCCTGCTTCCTGGCACTCCCGCCCCACGGGCATCTCTCCCAGTGCCAGGGTGCCCGCCCACCACCCAGGTACCTTCTCAATCTCCGGGACGGTCCTGGAGCAGTAAAGGAGCTTGGTCACCTCCAGCGGGTGAGCCTGGGGGAGAGGGCTGGCTTAGAGGGCTACGCTTGGGAGGGGGGCCGCCTGGAAGAAAAGCAGGCAGAGTCGGAGGGGGCCCGCCCAGCCCCCCCTCCGCGGGGCCCCTGCAGTCTTCCCGGGCTCCTCGTTGCAAAAAAGGGCCGCCCGCTGCGGAAGGGGCTTCGCAGCCCCCCCCCGCTACTCACGCGCTGGTAGGCTAGGATGAGCGACAGGAGCGAGATGGTCTTCCCGGTGCCCGAGGGCATCTCCAGCACCCCGTGGCCCTGCGGGGGGGAGGGAGGGGGAAGGTCAGGGACCCCCGCCGCCGCCGCCTACGTCCGAGGGCCGGTTGGTGAACGGGAAGGAGCCAGGACGGGAGCGGCGGCAGGCTCCGAGTTCCAGTCCTGCCGTTGTCCCCCCCGGCCAGTCCCCCCCCGGAAGAGGCGGCAGGGACCCCCGCAGGACCCCGCCCGGCCCACCTTGGCGTCCAGCGTCCGCTTCAGCTCCAGCATGTAGGAGTACTGCTCGGGGTAGATGTAGTCGTAGGGGAAGAGCACCAGCAACCCGTCGATGTTCAGCCTGCGCGGAGGGAGCGGGTGGTGGAGGGTCCCAACGGGCACGTCTACCCAGCGGTCCCGCAGCAAACCAGGCGAGGCGTGCGCCCGCCTCCCGTGCCCCTGCTGGCCCCCTCCCTGCATCCCATCATCCGCAGCCAGCAGAGGCACCGCTGCGGCGCCCCCAGCAGAGGCACCGCTGCGGCGCCCCTGCATCCCATCATCCGCAGCCAGCAGAGGCACCCCAGCAACCCCCGTCCGCTCCCGGGCTCGCTCGCCCCCCGCCGCCCAAGTGGTATCTCCCAGACGCCTCCCGTCGCCGCTTACTTCATGGTTTCGTCCGCGGCGGAAGCCGCGCTACTGGGGAGTTCTCACTCCGGTCCTCTCAAAGGAAAACTGTTCCTTCGGTCGCCTCTCCGCTTCTTCTGTCGCTCTCGATCCTATTGGCTCACAAGGCTCCTCGACGAAGGCCCCGAGTGGCTGATCTGAAAAGAGCCCGCCCCCGTCCACCATCAAACTTCCTGCCCCGCGTTCTCCCGCTCAGTGTGCAGGCATCACGAGCCGCTCAAAAGATGATCGTTCGGCATCTCTGCAATTTAGGCTGAAGAAGTCGAATCTAGAGAGAATAGATTTAGCTGTCCCTAGGCCAGGGGTGTTCAAACTTGGCCCTTTTATCACTTGCGGCTGAGGAATTCTGGGAGTTGAAGTCCACAAGTCATAAAAGGGCCCAGTTTGAAGACCCCTGCCCTAGGCTGAAATCTTGTAGTGGCTTTCCGCTCCAGGGACCGCGAGCCTCCAAAGTGGTTGCAGTTCCTCCTGCCTTCTTCACCTGTTGGATTGCTTTCCTTAATTGTATACCGTTTAGATGCGCTGGATTGCAATCACTACCCCCAAAACTCCCCCCTCCCCAGTTCCTTAGCCAGCAACTCAATCCGAAGTTTCCTATATAAATGATGCAACGAGAGAACAGATTAGAGTTGCTCTAAAGTTTGGGTAACTGAAACAACAAATAACTAACTCATGTTTCTGGCATTGAATCTCAAACTGACCAGCCAGCTCAAGATGTGACCTCACCGAGACCCCTCTTTATGGTCCAGCAACTCCTGTTCACGCCTGGTGGGGGCATTTTGCTCTTTGCAAGGGAAGACGGGGAGTTGCAAGGGCCGCGGCTGCTGTAATTTGGGGGGGGGGGGATACTACAGGTGGGACTTTGGGCACCCGTTCCCTCAACCAGAGAAGCCTAGCATTATTGTGATTTTCAAATCACAAGGAAACAGGTTTACCCCACCAGAGGTAGAGTTGCATGTTTTGGGTAACCTCTTGTGCTGGATTCACATGCACCAATCCAAAGTGAGATTTTGTTTTGTGGCTGAGAGCCATGTGTCAACTTCTCCAAGGTGCTTTACTCAGTAACGCCAGTTTTGTGTGAACCCAGGCAGAAAATGTTGAATGGCAGATGACATGCAACAGAAGCAAGCAACCAGGATAAGAACTAGCAGCCCCTTATTCTTACAACCATCAGTGGGGAACAAAGGAAGACTCGAGTGTCAGCCCAGAGGCTTCGGGCAGCAAATAATGATTCATCTGATTGTTCGGCTTGGGCAGCCTTCCCCATTAGACATAACTTGTTGAATCAACTAAGGCAGACACTGCCAGCTCAAATGTGATGACAGCGTTATCCGATCAGTTGAGTCCAACTCTTGCTGATTCTGTGGTCCAGGTCTCGCCACATCTTCTGATCTTGCATTGCTTGAGTTCTTCTGTGCTCTGGCTGGTGTCAATTTTGATGGTGTCCAGCTACCGTGTTCTTTGCAGCATGGTTTCCTTTTACCACTGACTCTTCCCAACATAAATGCTTTCTGCAGTGAATGGTCGAAAAGTGAGATGCAGTTTCCTGGTTTTGCCTTCTAGTGACATGCGCTCCAGGACTTACTTGTTGGTCACCTTTGCTGTCCAAGGAAGGTCACCTCTGAAATCTTTACCCAGCTCATCCAGTGGGTGGGGGAGTGGCATTCCATCCCACAGCCAGATGTTTCCTCCTTGTGCAGAAGTGTTCCTACCCCCACCTTGCATTGAACACATCCACTACTTTTATCCAGTTAGACCATTTTATTATGGAATGCTACATTTTCCAGCCAAGGCTGCCAACAATCCCAGGAAGGGCTCACCTGGATCCCCAGCGACTCCTCTTCCCTCCCTGGATCTGGGTCTGGCCAAGCCCCAACTGAAGCAGCCTTCAGAGGCAGGACCTGTAGGCTACAGACCCCCAACCTACATGGAGCTATTCCTGAAAGGCCCCACCCCCTTAAAGGCACAAAATCGCCCTTCCAAAATCGCCAACCAAAGGCACCCCAGAAGCATTGGGACAAGTCTTGGCATCCCGTCCCACATTAAGGCGCAGCATGAAAGGAAGGGGCCCCTTAACCAGGCGAAGCTCTCACGGAGGCCCCACGCTGGCTTGGCAGAGGCAGGCACAGAAACCAAGCTTTGGCACACGTTGCAGCTTCTGCCCGGGTGGGCAAAAAGAAGGCAGTGGGCAGGGGACAGCATCCCTCCTCCCCACCCCCAGTCTCATTCCAGTTGCAGAGTATGCACAACGAGCATGACTGGAACATCAGCCTGTGGGCATCAGCAGCTCTGAAGAAGCCCAGTTGCTGCCCAGCTGCACAGCCTCTGTCGGCTCTCAGCAGGGCAGGCAGACTCAGGGTCCCCCCACTGGCAGGGGGCAGCTCCCCCCTTCCCCCCTCTGGGGTAGGAGTGGGATGCTTTGATTTACTCAGGCTAAGCAGCCGAGGGCATTCGCTTCTCCGCCGGTGGAACAGCTGCAGCCTCGGAACTGAATCCCTGGTGGGGTTCAACTTTAGACGTGATTTTTAAAAGGGGGGGGTCAGGTTTCTACGAGAGGGAGGCCTCTCTGTTTCTGCAAAAGAGAAGTTGCCTGCTGCAGCATTAGCTGTCCTGGGCAAAGCAGTCCTAACCTTGAATCAAGATACAAGGGGAGCAGATTCCAGCCTTCACTTGAGAGTTGTGCAGAGAGGTGACAACTCGTAGCAAAAAGATGGGGTGCTTGTCACCCCTATGTGTCTTGGGTGTAGTGAGAACTTTTGAGAAAGAACAGCACATTTAGAGCCAACGTTCTCCTCCATCAAGCCTACAGAGCCCATGACTTTTAGTTCAGCTCCTGGGTGGCGTTGGCCACCCCTCCTCCCTTTTGCACTCTGTCCTTGCACAGAGGCAGCTCACTCTCTCTCCAGATTCCCAAAAAGAAGATGCAACAAGAGCCAGGGGTGCCCCATCTTCCTTCACTGTGTTGGTGAGAGTAAAAAAAAGACGCACCAACTCTGGGGGTGGGAGCACTGCTGTTCCCCCAAGGATGAAGTCATGGAAGGCCAGAGTTTCCGCCAAAGGCAAAGTGTGCTGGTGGCTCCAGAGGAAAGTCAGCAAAACTGGGGCAGAGGAGAACTGGAAGCCGAGCCCCCCAGTGTAGCTGAGCCCCAGAGTCACTGCACCAATTTCCCTGGTCAGCCTTTCTATGGGGAAAAGCCGTGTTGCTGCATTAGCTGCTGTGGGAGACACCAACCCAAAGCTATCCTCCAGGTTGGGCAGGGGGGGGGGTGTTCACACGGAGAAGCAAGAAAACAGCCAGGCGATTGGGGGAGGGGGATGTATGGCGGGGTCAAATCCACCCCCTCCCTTTCATCTGTGCTCTTTTGAAAGTGGAGGGTGGCCAGCAGAATCAGAGAAAGAGCCCCCTCCCCTGTGCCTGGCCCCTCCACATGAACAGAGGCCAGTCCCACCGCTGGGCTCTCGCTCTGCCCTTCCGACGGCCTCAGTGGACCTTTATGTCTTCCGCTGCTGCGGCCTCACCCTGGGGAACAGCTGCGAAAGGAAGGGAGTCGTAAGGAACAGGGAAGGCTACAGCTGAGTAGCTGGCAAGGCAAAGCCAGCAGCCCGACATGGCTGGAAAGCAGGACACCCCAGCTGATCGGCCCTCAGATCCTCCTGGGCTGCTCCTGGCCTGGGCTCCTCCAGGCAAACCTTCCGGCCCTCGGAAGATGAGACTCACCCCAAAGTAATTCTTGGGTACGTAGCCCTCCTGGCCATAGAGAGAGGCCCACCACCAGTCCAGCTCCTCCGGGCCATCCCGACGCAGCACGGTGACCGGCTCACCCTCGCGGAAGGAGAGCTCATCGCTGAATTCAGCACTGTAGTCCCACAGGGCATAGACCACCCCATTATTCATCAGCCCCATATTCTGCTCCATATCTGCAGCAAGAGAGACCCCCCCATGACAAACAATGAGGAAACAGCCGGGCCCTGGGCTTTACCGCCCCAGAAACATCAGTGCCGCCAGTCAGCACCACCTGAGAATCTAGGGAAAGCCATTAAGTGGGTCCTGCTTGGCGTGGCTGTCCCTGAGAAACACCGAAGGGCTTCCAGGACTCTCCTGCCTGCTTGGCAGGGCTTCCCAGCCAGCCAACCTTCTTTCCCCCACCTGCCAGGTAGCTGAAGCACTCGTTGTAGCCCTCGCGGTATGGGTCACACTTCTCAATGGCCAGGCTCCCGTCGCTGAACGTGGAGGCGAAGATGGCAGCCCCGTGCTTCACCAGAGCGATGCAGATGGCCGTGTCATTACAAGAAGCTGCGCAGTGCAGGGGTGTCCTGGAAGGCAAGGAGGTGGCCGGCTCAGGGAAGGGACGCATCAGGCTCAGGCCACAAGGGCACAGGGCGCTTCCCTGCCCACCGACAGAAAGCACCGCAGAGGCCACCGTCCTGCCTGCTGTCCCTTCCCTGGGACTCACCAGCCGTGGCTGTCTGGAGAATTGACGTTGGCCCCAATATTGATCAGGAAGTCCACAATGCTGTAGTTGGCCCCACAGATGGCATTGTGCAGGGCGGTGATGCCCTCGTCATTCGGCTGGCTCGGGTCGTTCAGCTGCAGCAGGAAAAGGCAGAAAGCCGTCCGAGGCTCAGCATCCCGAATTGTGGAATGGCCGCACCAGCTCACGGGACAGATTTTCCCAGAAACCCAGTCCGGTTCTACCTTGCCCCCCCCTCCAAGTTTACTTAGCCCTCCCCCCTTTTATTGCAAAATTCTTGGTGCTCCTTCAGCTTGGTGGGTTGCTGGCAGTGAGGATGTGACCGATGCTAACAAAATGTCTGCAAGGAAACTGCTGAGCTCAGAGAGCACCAGGGATTCCCCAGTCTCCCCTCCCGGGTCTCCCCTCCCCTCTCCTTTCCTTCTCCTCCACTCTGCAAACCTCGCTCCTGTCTATCACTGATGATGTTGCCTAGTTTGGTAATGAAACATTTACAAGGAAACTGCCAAGCTCAGAGGCCATCGAGGATCTCGGAGGGCGGCCCAGCTGTGGAGAGTCACTTCTAGGAATCCCGTTGCTCCAACTCCCTGCTCTGGACCCTCTCACCACAGCAGAGTCACCGTTTCTCGGCCTAACCTGCCTTGTACAGCTGCTGTTTGCTTAAAGAGAGGACCAGGAACCACGTGCCATAAGAACCACCGCAGCGCATGTTCGCTCAAGGGAAGGTGCCCCTGCGAGGCTGCCAGCTGCCAGCTCACCTCCTTCACCGCCTCCTTGACCACATCCAGCTCTCCGGTCAGGGCCGCGTCCAGCAGCAGCACCAAGGGATTGAGCCGCGCTTTCTTGGTTGTCCGTTTCCGGGGGGAAGAAACCTTGCGCAGCACCGAACGCTTCTCCTGCAGAGCAGCACAAGGGGTGATGAAGGTTAACCTCCACAAACATTTTCCGAAGCCCGCACCAGAACAGCCCAACAGGTGAAGTCGAGGCCCCCCCAAGTCCAGCCCGAAGTCCTGGGGGCTTCACGAGCAGAAGGTGGAGCCTTCAGCCTCCTCTCCATCTAGCACTGGAGTCCCAAGCGAGGAGCAATAGCCTTCAGGATTGCAAAGGGTGCCCTGCTGTGGTTGCCAGCAGGTCACTCCTGGGGGGGGAAGCCCCCCCACCCTCGGGGAACTGGGCAAATGGCCACCAAACTTACCGGGCTGGGCACCGGAGAGAGAGTGGCCGGACTCTCTGGTGCCGGCGGAGGGGTCATCGCAGGGCTGGGGGTGGCCGGGGCCTTCTGCTCCGCAGCCTCAGGGACGGGTGAGAGGTCCCCCAGGAGCGGGGGGTCCCCCACGGGCGTAGTCTCCTCCTTGCGGGGCGGGTGGTGGAACAGGCGGCTAATGATCTGCTGGTACTGCTTCTTGTGGGGGGGCAGCAGGGCTGGGCTGGGATTCTGCTCCATGGACCCCCGCCGCTTCAGGGGCCGAGGCATCTCCGCCAGCACCCGGGCCACTTCCTCAAACTCGGGCACCGTCTGGGCCTCAGGCGGGAGGACCGGCTGCAGCCGGGTGGGGCTGAGGGGCCGGGCCAGGTCGTCCATCTCGGCCGGCTCGCTGCCCGGCAGGAGATTCTCCAGCTCGGCCTCCGCGTCGCCCGGCGTCAGGACGATGGGCACGATGCGCTCGGCTGGCCCCGCGGGAGCCCTGGGGCTGCCACTGCCTGGAGGGGGCAAAGCCGAGTGTGGGAGGGGAACTCTGCAAGGCACCCCCAGCAAAAGCATTACTGCACAGGGGGTCCTTGGCTCATGACACCATGTTACTAAGCAAGATACGTTAAGTGAATTTTGCCTCATTTACAAAATTCTTGCCACAGTGCTTAAGTGAATCACGACAGTTTTAACTTAGTATTTGGTTGTGAAGTGAATCCGGCTTCTTCCCCCTTGGCGTGGCTTGTCAGGTCGCAAAAGGGGATCACGTGACCCCGGGATGCTGCGACCGTCATAAACACAAGCCAGTTGCCAAGCATTAAGTTTGATCACGTGACCCTGGGGATGCTGCAATGGTCAGAAGTGTGAATAATGGTCATAAGTCACTTCTTTCAGTTCTGTTGTAACTTTGAACGGTCACTAAATGAACTGTTGTAAGTCAGGGACCGCCTGTGTCCACATATTCAGAGGTAACACGTCGGTCGAAGAGGCTGAAGACCGGCTCCTCGGGGCCCAGGATAAAGAAACGGGGCCATACGGGCCCTTCGCCCCAACCTGGCTTGCATCCACTGAGGGGGGCCCTCTGGTTGTGGCACCAGGGAGCCCTTCCCGCTGCCCCTCCCTCCGGGCCACTCACCTTCGCTGCTGGGCCCCATGGTCCGGTGGGGGGACTGCGGGGGGGCTGCCGGTGGTTGCATCAGCAGCTTCTGCAAGGAGCGCAGGGCCAGCGGCGATCCCAGTGGCGACCCCACCGGCCCCGGGGGCAGCCCGAGTTTGCCGCCTGCCGCGCCCGACTCCCAGAAGGCGTTCTGCAGCCGGAAGATCATGGAGAGGGGCAGCGGCTTGTGGCGCCTGGGGAGGCTGCCCCCCTGCAGGGCGGGTGGGGGGATGGGGATACGGGAGATGGGCTGCCAGTTGCGGGGCAGGGTGCCCGCCTGGTTGGCCACCAGGGAGCGGCGCAAGGAGCTGTCCGGCCGCCTCTCGCCAGCCAGGGCCGAGACCTTGTAGTTCCTGGGCAAGGTGGCGCTGTGCATCCCATAATGCTCCTCCTGCAGGAAGGAAGCCAAGGGAGACGGTCAGTTGCCACCCGCCGTCCCTCCTCCTCTTCCTCTCTGCCAGCTTCTGTCTCTGAAGCCACAAAGGCTTTAGCAGCCACAGGGCCCCCAGCAGGGACACTGACCTTGCCTGGCCAGCCACCATCTAGGCTGGACTCCTTCCAGGGAGCCGGTGGCAGCCCCGCCGGGTTCTGGCGAAGGCTTGAGTGCGCATCCACTCCTGGGGGAAGAACATTGTCAGTGTGACCGAGTCTCTGGCCCCTCCCTCTGCCGAGGTCTCTCCCGTGCCCAGCAGTTTTCCTGGCAGATCGGCCGGGTCGCTCCTGTCCTCAGCAACAGGGATCGGGCCTCTGAGGGACCCTCGCTCAGTAGAAGGTCACAGCCCTCAGCTGCCAGCGGGATCCCTCTGGCCCACCAAGCACCAACCCCCTTGGATGGGACCCACCAGAGGGAGCCAGGTTTTGCTCCACGATCCTCTGGGAAAATCTGCCGGTGCAGACGTGGGTAGAGTGGCCTCTGATGGACCTCATCGCAGAGACCTGGCATCGCCCCCCCCCATGAGTGCCAGGTCTGTTCCAGGGAGTTCTCGCCCCCCAGGGCAAACTCACGCTCGTAGCCAACAGGGTGAGGTGCCTTCTTCTCATATGCCACATCCAGATCCGATTCATTCCAGCTTTTCGGTGGTCTCCTGCGGATCACCATATCATCTGCGGAAAAGAAAAAGCCAGGATGGCGTCAGAAGTGCTTCTCCAGCTGCCTCTGTCCCAGATGAGGGGAGCAACTCTGGGAAAAACCACTCCAGCCTTCGGGGGACACTCTTGGCCAGACCCTGGCAGAGCTGAGATTTTGGGGACTGCCTGGACAGCTTCTTGGAGAACAAAGTGGCCTCATTTTCTCTCCCAGCTCTGCTCACTTCCTTTCTTCTAGGGCAGCTCCAGCACCCTACAGCCCTCCAGGCGATGCAGGACTACAACTCCCAGCACCTGTTGCCGAGAGGTCCCCGTGGCTTAGAAGGGGGGCATGTCCAGTCCAACTAGAGATCCCCAGGTGGGAAGGGCCATTTTGCACCAGCTCTTAAAAGCCAAGGCTTTTATCTTTCAAAATGCCCAAATTAAAAACAGAAATGTGAGTGTATAGGGGAGGGTGAAGCAGTTAAAACGGTGCTGAGGGAGATGCATTTGCTATTAAACCCTGAACGCTACAACGGAAATTCTGCAGATTTTCACATTGTTTGGATTTCTTCTCGTCTTGTGCCTAGTTTCTCTTTGCTATTCCGCTCGTCTTTCAGCAGCACAAAGAGGGGAACTGGATATAAAAGGAACACTGACACACACACACACACACACACACACACACACACACACACACACACACCAGAAATCTGGCTGAGCCAAGGCGGTTTTCAGCATCCATCGAGCCTTGCCCAAACACGTTTCAGCAGCTCTCATAAGAGCTGGAAACTTGTTATTGGGAGCTCGGCTTCCTTGGGAGAGCACATTCCAACCCTTTCAGTTGACACACCCCATTCTCTGCGCCCTGAATGTAACCCATAATTACCCTCTTAAGCGCTTGGGAGGGATCGAACCTGGTTGCAGCCCAGGTGCCCCGCAGCTGCATGGCAGCAAAACAACCCCAAAGGACCAAACGGCTCCAGCACGCGCTCACCTTGTGCCCAGAAGGAGCCTGGCGCCGAAGGATACAGGCTGTGGCTCTCGTAGGGGGGTGGGAGAGGGGGCCGCGGAGAGGGTCCTCGTTCTGGGAAGAAGGCTTGGGAGATGGAGCCTTCCCCAGGCAGCCGTGGAGAGCCGGCCCGGCCCCCCCACCCGCCGGTGGCAGGAAATGGCCGGTAGTCAAACTGGCGCTCAGGAAGGCCGGCAGTTCGGAGGGAGCGGGGGGAGCCACCATGGGCCCCGGGGCCAGACGGGCCCTCGTAAGGGATGGCCATGACCTTGGGCCTGGACGGTGCTGTGGGGCTCCAATCCACGTCCGACTGCAGGAAGAAGGAAGGCCGTGGGGAGGAGGGGCGTCCCAGGGTGGGCTTGGGGGCCAGGAGCTGGCTGGGCGAGGAGCTGTAGGGTGACATGCTGGGGGGGCCACTGGGCTCAGCAATGTCCCAGGAGGGGCTCTTCTGCAGCGGCAGCTGGTGCAGGGGGGAGGCAGTCCGGGCCTCCATCTTCAGCAGGTCTGGGGAGGAGCTGGAACTGTACCTGTCCACCACCTGCCAAGCAAAGTGTGTGGGGGGGGGAAGAATCAGCCACCTTTCCTCCTCCCAAGCAGGGTGAAGGCAGCCTCTGCCTGAAGGGGGGGCTTTGCAAGGTTCACTGCCAGCGCCCTGGTGGTAGGGGGGACCCAAACCTGAATCACCGTCTTCCTGTTCATTCAACGGATGGAAGGGGGGATCAGGACACCCTGGGGCAGGGGTAGGCAACCTGGCTCAGGAATTCTGGGAGTTGAAGTCCAGGAGTCCTAAAAGAGCCAAGGTTGCCTACCCCTGCCCTGGGCTTGATTTCCAACTTCTCTGCCCCAGAACCTTTGGAGCAGATCCAGGAGCAGCAGCATCCTGGCCACACTCCAGAGAAAGACTTGCCCCCCCCCCCAAAAAAACCCTGCTTGGCACCAGAAGATGCAGGTAGCCGGGGAGGCTCCGTGGCAGAGCTGCAATTTCCCAAGAATAACACCCCGTTCGCCTCCCAGGACCTCTGAGGGGCACCAAGTTAGCCTGGAGCCGCTTAACGGAGCCCCCTTGCCCAGAGGACGGCCTTGGCGTCTCCTTCCCCGCCTCACCAAGGATGGCACAATGGGCGGCCCAGGATGGTCTGTCCAGAGCGACTCCAGCTGCTTGGAGAGCTCGTCCACTTTGGCCGCGGCCGTGTCCAGCTCCAGCTGCTTGAGGTCCATGTGCTTGCAGGCCAGGGCTGTGGGGAAGAAGAGCAGATGAAGAGGGACAGGGCTCCCCTCCCCACCTTAGGAACAACCTCTGCGTGTGGTGGACCTCAACACCCAGTACCCTTGGCCAGTATAAGATGATGGGAATCAAAGCCCAAGGCAGGAGGTTAACCAAAGGCCCTGGCTTGGCAAGGTGCTCCAGCGAGGGGGTCCTTTTCTGCCTCTCGGATTTAAGGTGAACAGCCTCTGCTTTCTCCAGCTCCTGCTGGTAGGGACGCTCCTGCATCGCAGCCAAAACTGGCCCCAGAAAAGATTCCTCTAGCTCAAGGCTGTCCAACCTTGGCCACTTCAAGACTTGTAGACTTCAACTCCCAGAATTCCCCAGCTAGCAGAGTGGCAGGAGCCAAGGAAATGAGATGGCCGGTGACAGGGGTGGGAGGGAACTCTTCACCTTGGTCTGCCTCTTTTGACAGCAGACCTCAAGTAGGGAGCATCTCCTGGGCCACTGCAGGAGAACAGACAGAGGCCAACCGGTGGTCTGATGCAAAGCTGGACCCTTCGGAGGTTCTTCTGAGGAAGCATTACTGGCTCCCTAACAATATTTGCACTTTAAGGAAGCAATCTAACCAGGTGTAAATATCCTGGTTAGATTGGATATCTGCTTATAGTTGTCCTATATTTGCATTTAAATTACTTGGCGATTGGGACATGAGCCAGTTGGCTACTTCCTAGCCCCAGAGTGCCACCCCATCACGGCCACCCTGAATTCGGGGGTACCTGCTCTCTACCAACTCCAGCTTCTACCCCTATTTTGCTATGATAAACCTGCAGAACAGACAGAAGCCATCTGTGGGAATCTGCACAACTTTAGATAAGGGTTTTCTGCCAAGAAGCTGGACTACAGTCCCCCTCATCCCCAGTAGCCACAGCCAAACAACGGGGATCCCTGCAAAGCAATGGATCGAGGCCCCTCTGGAAGGGGGCAGGAGGAACCCTTTGGGGGTGAGACATCAGCCCCAGAGACGTTCAGAGCAACCGGGGGGCCGTTTAGCCAACAATTGAGCCGAGGTGGCGCAGCAGTTAGAGTGCAGTACTGCAGGCCACTTTAGCTGACTGTGTTCAGCAGGTCAGCGGTTCAAATCTCACCGGCTCAAGGTTGACTCAGCCTTCCATCCTTCCGAGGTAGGTAAAATGAGGACCCAGATTGTTGGGGGCAATGTAATTATATATATACATTGCTTACTGGTGTACACCGCTTAGAGAGTGCTTGCACTTAAAGCGGTATATAAGTCTCATAAATAAATAAATAAATTATAACCATATCTGCATATACACAACACAGGCCTCGTGCACACACACAAGCTGCTTTTCGTTCACATTTCTGCCTGCAGCTGCAAACTGTTGTTCAAGCCGCTGGAAAAACTTTTCTTTCAAAAAGAGGCTTCCCGACTACAGCCGGCCTTGGCAGAGATCCTCCCAGTTCTTAGTCTGCTGTGACTAAGCCGCAATCTGAGCCAGAGCACAAACAGCCCTGCCCACCTTCCTCTCTGAGGCGCTCTCTTCTCCTTAACCAGGAATTCCAGGACGGGGTCCCAAGGCCGAGACGCTACTCCGGGCAGGCCCCAAGGCCTGGCGCACGTCAGCAGGGCTTTGGCGGAGGATTTCAATGCTCCAGGCCAGCCAGAAGCAGTTGGAAAACCCCAAAAGTGCTTTTCCAAAAGGCAACTGGTTTTGCTTCCCATCCGAGAAGTTTCTTCCGAGTCAGAACTCTAGGAAGTTCTGTTGCCTTTGGGACAACTGTGACCTGGAAGGACGGAGAATCTCCCTAGACAAGCAGTTGGCAGCATCTGCTTTGCAGAACTGAGCCGGCTTGAGATGCAACTCTCCCTCTGGCCCATGGGAGGGGCTCAGGACGCCCATTTGACCTGCCAGGTGTGGTCTCTGCCCCTTCCCAGGCTCTCTCTCAGCCATGCCTGTTCCCCTCTTGCCTCTACTGCAGACCCCCGCCCAACTCACATTGGAAGGTGAGGTCCAGGAGCTCCTGAGCGTTGGCAAGGTCTTGGCTGGCCATGGCGAGCAATCTGGCCTTCCACTCCGGCAGCTGGCAGAGCTCTGAGGGTCTCAGCGACCTGGGAAGAAGAAGCATCCCGTAAATGGCATCTAGCATGTCCCTTTGCCCCCCTGCCCCAGGCTGGCACCCATGCCCTTGCCCAGAGCAGCTCTGCAGCTGCTGAGGAACCAGCCTTCCCCGTCTCCTGCTGGCAAGTTGGCATCGGTGCAGCTGTGCCCAGGAAGGGCTGAGCCCCTTTCGCCACCCACTGCCCTCCATGCCTGCTTGACCCACAGCTGGAGATTTCCCATGGGGGAGCGATTTATCCTCACCCCAGCCCTGCCTCCTTCCAGCCTTGAGCCTTCAAGGACGCTGTTCCCCATCCCCAGGGCGAATCCCCTGTTGCAAGGGAGTCCACCTCCTACACCTCTTAAGGAAGCTTTGCCCGTCTTTCTTTCTCAACTCGAGTTTCTTTCCAACTCAGGGAAACATTGAAGCAGAACTGCACCCTCCCCCACCTCTGGGGCTCACAAGGGGTGTGGGTCTCCCCACTCCCACCCCAAAGACCCTTCATAGAGAGAGCCGCTTTTCAGGAAATGTCTGGAAGATGGAAGCCGCTTCCTTCCAACTGCAAACACACAGGGCCGGGCTGCCAATACAACATTTTAAGGCACCCCTGGAAGCTTTCAGCCGCTTTTGAGTTGCCTGAGTTGAAAAAATTGTTTAGGCATCGGATGGGAGACCACACAGGATTCCAAGTCTCCAGGCAAGGCTGGGAAGCGAAACCAAACACAGGAAAGCAAACAAACTCCACATTGTTGCTAAGGAAATAACACGGATGGATTGTAAGTCACCAGGCTTCAAGCTCGACTCCCCGGTGGCTTCATCCCATGGAATTCTTGCAACAGGCCGATTTCACAGGCGAAATGACCAGGTAAGTCCATTCAAGGCCAGGTCACTTACTGGTCAAGCTGCCAATTACCCCCTTGGAAACGAGAGCAAAGACTAAAAATATTTACCCTGATTTGCATGGAGGCTGCAATCCGCCCTCAGAAGGCACAGGGTGCGACATGCTGCCACTCTGCCAACCCAGACGTGCCAATCCTCAACCCAGCCCTGCGGGGCAGGCGCCTGCCCTTGCCAAAAGTGCACTAAGGGCCCAGGAGCCCCAGCGGGGATGCAGCGCACCAGGCTATGCAGCAGGTGGGGCCAAGCGGAGCCCCCCCCGGTGTGCCCTCCATCCCGCCCAGGTGCAGCTCCTCAACGTCCCTTGGCAGACCTGGAACAGTCATTCCAGTGAGCGATGGACCTTTTTTTCAAGATCCCAAGCCTGGGATTACCAAGTGGGAAGGCAGAAGCTTTCTGCTCATGCTCTCTCACTTTGAAGGGGGGCTGCTGCTGAAAAAGAGGGAACCCCAAAGCTTAGCCGTGGTGGCGCAGTGGTCAGAGTGCAGTACTGCAGGCTACTACTGCTGACTGCCAGCTGACTGCAGTTTGGCAGTTCGATTCTCACCAGCTCAAGGTCGACTCAGCCTTCTGTCCTTCAGTAAAATGAGGACCCAGATGATTGTGGGCCATAAACCGCTCAGAGAGGGCTGGTAAAGCACTGTGAAGCGGTATATTAGGGCTACTGCTATTGCTTACAGTTCAGATCACTTTAAGGTGCCATATTCAGCTACAGGCCAAGGGACACTTTTCCATTTGTTACTCCCAACAACTGAAGACAAAGTGAGCAGTTTCTAAACCAGGGGCATCCAACCTTGGCAACTTTAAGACTTTTGGACTTCCATCTCTTTCTGTTTTTTTAAGTTTATAAGCCAACCATCTTCCTTGTTTATTTGCATTTTCAAAAAAAAAATGTTTTGCTCTTTTTATCTGCTGTGCCACTTTTTCTGAATCCAACAGATTTAGTTTATGTTTTATTATTTCCATTTCTCTTTTCAAAGTCTTTTTCTGCGGATTTTTTTGTAGTTCTGATTCTAGCTTTCCAAATTTTGCTTTTAGTAGTACATAGTGCTGTCTTCTCTGTTTATTTTTCTTTGCCGTGTATGTTATAGCTATGCCTCTAAAATATGCTTTAGCTGTATCCCATACATTTTGTAATGTTGTGTCTTCTTTTTTGTTTTTTCTAAAGAACTTCATTTTTTTTTTCGCTAATTCTATAAATTCTTTCTCTTTTAGTATAGATTGATTTAAAGTCCATCTGGGTCTTTTTTGTATTCCTCTCCATGTCACTTTTAAAGGGTTATGGTCTGCTCATGCGCCTATTTCAATCTCAATTTCCTGTATATTCATCCTCAAGTCAGACATCATCCAAATCGTGTAAATTCTTGACCAGGATTTTTGACTATTTGAATAATAAGTGTATTGTAGTTTTTCTGGATTAATGTCCCTCCAAAAATCTTGTATTCCAATTTCATCTATCATATTAAAAAATGTCCTAGGTAATCTTCCGGTTTTTCCTATTTTACTGCTTTTATAGTCAATTGCCCCACCTACTATTGCATTGAAGTCTCCTACTAAACAAATATTTTGGTACTCCATTTCTATTATTTTTCTACGGAGGCTTTGGTAAAATTCTTCTTGGTTATTGTTTGGTGCATAGATTGCTGCTAACAATGTTTATTTTTGGTGTAAATATATTTCTACCATCACAATTCTTCCTTCTTCATCCGAGTAACCATTTTAGAGTCTATTATCTCTTTAATATATACAGCAACACCTCTTTTTTTCTGATGCACTGATGCATAATAAAGTTTCCCAATTTTTGGGTTTTCCAGTTTATGATGTTTTTTTATATGTGTCTCTTGCAAACATATTTAATTTCTCTAATTTCCTAAAAAAATTATTTCTTTTTGATGGGGAATTTAGTCCATTTACATTCACTGAAAAAATTCAATTTTCTTTCTCCATTTCCATTACTTATGTCTAGTCCAGAGGTACTCCTTCATCTAGAATTGCTCGATTTCTTGCTTCGAAGTCTCCTGCTTTCAGACTGAGTCCAGTCGATACTTGTATTATTCCAGTTGATTAAAATGCCTTCTGGCATTAACCATCTAAAATGTATGCCTTTTGCAATCAGCTTTGTGGTTAAAAAGTGGTAATGTCTTCGAGTATGTCTTACTATCTTAAGTATCTGTTTTAAGACCACAATTTCTTTATTTTTGTATTGTAATGGCTCATCTCTCACTTTTCTCAGTACTTCATCTCGTTGTTTTCTTTATGAATCTTACATGTACTTCTCTAGGTAGTTTGGTCTTTTTTTTTTTTTTTTTTTGCATAGCTTAAGTTCATTAGAAATATTTCGTCTATCTCCATCTGCATCTCTGCTCTATCTGCTTTCAAAGCTTCTGCCAGAAGCTCAATGATCACAACTGCTATGTTTTCTTTTCTGTCTTCAGGGATATTTTGAAATCTCAAGTACTGTTCCACCTTCTCCATTTCCAAGATCGCGACCACCCCTTATAAATTTTGATTTGCTTGTTCTAATTTTTTATTTTCTTGCAATAATATTTCCATTTTTGTATCAATATCATCTGATTTATTTTCCATTTTCTGAATTCTTTGTTCATTTTTGACAATCATTTGATGATGAATTTCAAATTGTGCCTTTATATCCAAAATTTCTTCACTTAATTTCTCAAAAATACTTTGTGTCTCTTCCTGGTTTCTTTGCATTGACTCTTGAATCAATTTTAGTGTAGCCTGCATTTCATTTTTGGCAGTGCTTATTTTCTCATGCTGCAGCATTGTTTTAATAGATCCCTGGGTTGTTGGGTTAGATGTTCCAACAGAGGGTGCAGAAGAAGTAATCTTCATAAGTCTGGTAATATTTGTTGTGCTAACAGAGTAAAATCCAAGATGTAAAAAGGAGCCAGCTACTTTAGGCCAAGTCCACCTGCTCCAGTCAGGTCTCAGATGTAAAGTGTTCATTGTCTCCAAGTAGTTCCTGTTTAGTTATATCCAGAGTCAACAAATATAGTTATGAAAAAGTATTTTCTATTGTAGAGTCATGCCAAGGCACTTTGTTTACAGCAGGTGTTGTTCAAGGTCAAATATTTCCAGATTTTTTTAGTGTTTAATAATTCTGTAGATTCTTCTTTCACGACTAGATGTCCTCATACACTAATTTATCAATGTCTGATTTTAGAAAATTTTCACAAAGTTTTTCTTTTAAAGTCCCTTATAGGTTATTTACCCTTGAGATTATATCTGGAAAATTTTCACCTTTGTAGGTTAAATAGTCAGTCCTTTTTTGAATCAATCTGAATTCAATTTTTAAAGGTTTTTCTTGTATTCCTTAAATATCCTCCCCTTTTGTAATTGCTCACTGCTTTTAGATCCGATCTTTCTGGGGTCTTTACTTTTTAGCTCTTCCCCATCAGGGGCTCAACGTCTTATAATCCAAAAGGAAAAGAAAAAAACACCCAGCTTCAGCACGCTGTTGACAGCTGTTTAGCAGAGGGCCGTGGCTCCTTGCTTTCCTTCTGGCTGGTGACTTGGGCTGCCTTGGCTCATCCGGCAGCCTTTCCTCCATCCTTTCAGAGGATTTCTTCAGTCTACTTCGATCGACCGCCACCTGATCCGAGCTCCTGGAGTGTCCCTCCTTCTTCGTTGCCCCTCCAGGGCAACTTTCCGACTCTTTAAGGGTCGTTGGGCAAAGCGAAATCGGGCTGGGAAGCTGGAGCCTTGGCTTCTTCCACCCGTCTCGTCGGCTGCCAAAACCGGAAGTCCCAAGACTTGTGGACTTCAACTGCCACAATTCCCCAGCCAGCAAGCAAAGAATTCTGGGAGTTGAAGTCTGCAGATGTCTATGGAGATTCTCAGTCATCCAGCTCACAGTTATCCCAAATACGCTTTTTTTTTCATGAGGCAACTGGACTTCCTTGTTTTTTCTTTGAAGACGTTTCGCTTCTCATCCAAGAAGCTTCTTCAGCTCTGTAGATCTTAAATTTGCAAGGCTGGACAGTCCTGTTCTAAGCTTTTAATAAAGGGCGGCAATGTAAAACAGACCAAAAAAAATGCATTTTAAACAGCCAGTGGCTTTTCCTTAGCAGGCATTTTTCCAGTCCTGTAATGGGCTGTGGGAATAACCTTGGTGAGAAGACGGGACCTCCGGTTTTGGCAGCTGACGAGACGGATGGAAGAAGCCGGGGCTCCGGCTTCCCAGCCCGATTTGATCTTGAACAACACCTGCTGTAAACAAAGTGCCTTGGCATGAGTCTACAATGGAAAAGACTTCTCATAACCATATTTGTTGACTTTGGCTACATTTAAACAGGAACTATTTGGAGACAGTGAACGCTTTACATCTGAGACTCGACTGGAAGAGGTGGATTTGGCCTAAAGCAGCTGGCTCCTTCTTATACTTTGGATCTTACTCTAAGACTGTTGACTGAAAAATGAGTACATCAAACATTACCAAACTTATGAAGAAAAAAAAACAAACAGAGAAGACAGCAATACGTACTATTAAAAAAAAATTGGAAAGTTAGAATCAGAACTACAAAAAAATCCGCAGAAAAAGACTTTGAAAAGAGAAATGGAAATAATAAAACATAAATTAAATCTGTTGGATTCAGAAAAAATGGCACAGCAGATAAAAAGAGCAAAACAATTTTCTTTTGAAAATGCAAATAAACCAGGAAGATTGTTAGCCTATAAAGTTAAAAAACAGAAAGAGAAGAAAATGATATACAACTTGGTAGAAGAAAAAGGCTGTCTACAATTTAAAAATGAAGAAATAAAAAAGATAATTAAGGAATACTACAAGAAACTGTATGACATAGAGGAAACTCCAAGAGAGAGAATCCAATATCTAAAAGAAAATAATCTTCCAAAAATTCCAGAGACATTTAAAACTATGTTAGAGGAAAGAATTACAATGATGGAAATATCAGAGGCCATAAGAAGGCAAAAAAAAATAAATAAATAAAATGAAAAAACACCGGGTCCAGATGGGTTACTGGTGGAGTTATATAAAACCCTACAAGACATACTAAGTGAACCGCTGAAAGACGTTTGTAATATACTTTTGTTGGAGGCTAAACTTCCAGCCACATGGATGGAAGCAAACATTACTTTAATGCCAAAAGAAGATTCAGATTTGACAAGATTAAAAACTATAGACCGATATCACTGCTCAATGTGGATTATAAAATTTTTACTTCAATAATGGCAGAGGGACTGAAAAAATACTTAGTTGAATTTATATATCCAGGCCAAAATGGCTTTTTACCAAAGAGACAAATTAAAAACAACTTGTGATAATGGACGTACTAGAATAGTACAAATTACATCCAGGGAAACAATTAGCATTAATATTCCTAGATACTCAAAAGGCATTTGATAATGTTTCCTGGCAATTTATGACTCAGCAACTACAAATAATGAACTTTGGACAGAACTTTATAAATATGATAAAAACAATATAGAAGAAACAGCAAAAGTGGTTGTGAATGGAGATTACGGTATATTGAGAACTTTGAGATAAGAAAAGGCACAAGGCAAGGATGTCCATTATCTCCATTGTTATTCATTTTCACCCTGGAAGTTTTAAATAGAAATATTAGACAAGACACAGAAATTAAAGGACTGGAAATAAAAGGCGAGACATATAAATTACAAGCATTTGCTGATGACGTGGTATTTATCTTAAAAGAACCTTTGGAGATGATTCCTAAATTACTGGGAAAGATAGAACAGTATGGAGAAATGGCAGGATTGAAAATACAGAAAAAACAGAATTACATATAGTGAAAAAAGTTAAATGTTTGGGTATACATTTATCGGCAAGATGTTCAACAATAAAAGAAGATAACTACACAAAATTATTGAATCAAATAAAATTGGACTTGGAAAGATGGAAAAATCTACAACTGTCAATATAGGAAGAATTGCCACAGTGAAAATGAATGTATTGCTGAAAATTTTATTTCTATTCCAAACAATTCCAATAAAACTTGAGAAAAAATTCTTTCAAGATTTAAATTCACTAATTTTGACATTTGTTTGGCAAGGAAAGAAAGCTAGAATTAAGATGAAAACATTACAAGATGCTAAGGAAAATGGAGGATTTGGGCTACCGGAGTGGGCTTTGTATTAACATGTTTTAACATGGGTAAAAGAATGGATAACTCTTAGAAATAAAAGGTTGTTATATTTGGAGGGGCATAACTTACAATTGGGGTGGCACGCCTTTCTATGGTATGGGAAAAATAGAATTCATAAGTATTTCCAAAATCACTATATAAGAAATACATTGTTAACAGTATGGGAAAAAATTAAAAGTAAAATATACTTGAGAATTCCAGAGTAGTTGTCAACTATGGAAGCATTTGTACACCCAAATTTGGTGGATTTTGAAAAAATCTGGACATATAGAGATATTCTAAATTCTGAAGGGAATTTAAAATCTAAACAAGAACTGGAAAATCAGGGTATCAACTTGTCATGGGCAAATTTACAAATGCAAGCTAGATATGAAAAAGACGTTAAACTGTATGGATTTTATAAAGAACGGCATTTGATAAGACTTTGTTAGCTTCAGATGAGAAAAAATGTGTAATTTTTTATTAATTTTGGAAATGGAAACAATGATAAGATGGGCGAAAAATTTCGGATATAATATAGAATTAGAAAAATGGCAAAATTTATGGGAAAGAAATTATAAATTGACAATGTCAACTTCTTACAAAGAAAATTTATATAAAATGTTTTATAGATGGCACTTGCCACCAGCAAGATTAGAAAAATGTTTAAAAATGTGTCAGATAGATGTTGGAAATGTAAACATAACTCAGGCACATATTATCATGTTCAGTGGACATGTGATAAAGCAAAGAACTATTGGAAAAAGATACATACTTGGTTAGAAAAGATGTTGGGAGAATGTGTAGACTTTAAACCTGAACTTTTTTTACTAGGTATAATGCCAGAAAAGATTAACAAACAAAGCCTATATTTGATTTTACATGTCACAACAGCAGCAAGAATATTTGTGCAATATTGGAAAAATGAAGGAAGATGAAGAAATAATTAAAAAAATACTGGAATGCGCAGAGATGAACAGACTATGAGATTGAAAGAAAAAGAAGATACAGAATACTATCAAACGTGGGATTTACTTTACAAAGGGTTAGAGGAAAGAATAAAGGATTAGGAATTAAATATGTATTAGCGTTTTTAAACTCAGACAGCACGTTGGTTGAAACATTATTATTGTATGTAACAAAAAAATTAATAAAATCTTATTTAAAAAAACCTTGGGAAGAAGACGACCAAGGTCAGATAAAGAGAAATCCGAATCCAAAGGTCCGAATCCAAAGGCGGGGCAGGACCCGGAAGGGACCCCCTCCAATTCTCTGGGAAGCAAAGGCGGGGACGGGGAAGGGTCCAGACTTGCAAAGACTGAGGTCACGTGTTTGAGCTAGTCCAGACAGGAAACCAAACCATGACAACTAACTCTGCTTTTATTGTAAGAGTCTGGAAGTCCTGGAGAATGGAACCCACAGAAAGAGTAAACAGGAAAGGATTTCTGAGCATGAGCAGAGTTCAGCCAGTTTGTGGAACCAATAAGGAGCACCTATCTCAGCATCTGCAGCCAGTTCAGTCTAGAAAACGGGAGGCCACGAGTTCAAGTCCTGCCTTAGCCACGAAAGCCAGATGGGTGACTTTGGGCCAGTTACTCTCTCCCTCAGCCTAACCCACCTTGCAGGGTTGTTGTTGTGGGGAAAACAGGCCTTGAGTCATTTGTAAAAATCATAAAGGCAGGATACAAATTAAAACCCAAAATCGCTGCCTTCAATTCAAGCCCCGTGGGGTACTGCAGCCGGTGGGAACGCTGCCTTTCTGATGGGACCCCTCCTCCACGGCTGCGGCCACTTGGGCCGAGGATGGGAGTTGAAGTCCAGCACAGCTGGAGGGCGCCAGGTTGGGGAAGGCGAGTCTGAGCACTTCTGCCTGGTCTTCCTCACAAGGATGCACAGAAGCCTGAGAGCTCCATACAGGGAGTCCTCGGCTTATGACCGCAATTGAGACAGAACTTCTGTTGCTAAGCGAGACGGTTGTGAAGTGAGTTTTGCCCCACTTTACAATCTTTCCTACCAGAGTTGGTAAGTGAATTACTGCCATTGTTAAGTTAGTCACACGGTCGTTAAGTGAATCTGGCTTCCCCACTGACTTTGCTGGTCAGAAGGTCACAAAAGGGGATAATGGGACGCTGTGACCGTCGTTAAGTATGAACCAGTTGCCAAATGTCTGAATTTTGATCACGTGACCATAAATGGATGCCGTAATGGCCATAAGTATGAAAAATGGTAATGAGGCACTTTTTTCAGTGCAGTTGTAACTTTGGTCACTAAACTGTTATAAGTCAAGGATTACCTGTACAAGTTGTGCGCGTGCACACACACACACACACACACACACACACACACACACACACACACACACACAGTCTCTTGCAAGCATCCATGGCCACCTTCTCATCCCAAAGCCTCAGGTTGCTTCAGAGAACTTGCCTCCTCGCCCCTCCTCTGCTTTGGGAACCTTTCTTCCCAGGGGGAGACCCTCTGCGGCTGCCCCCTCCCCTCCCACTCGTGGGCAGATTCAAAGGCCCTTCTGGATTCAGAGAAACCTGGGGTCTCTTAAATGTTAAGTTGCTTCAGCCAAAATGAATCAGCCTGGAAAAAGCTAAAATGACTTTAATCCTGACCTCAAACCCAGCAAGAAAAAAAATTGTCTCTCCCCCCCCCCCCCCCCACACACACACACGTTGTTTCTGCATGTGCATCTGAATGGGGTGATTGCAGGGCCCATCCCAGTTTTTCCCAACCGGGCCCAGCACAACTGGTTAGACCGGAGTTTCTCAACCTCAGTCCCTTTAAGAGGGGAGGAATTCAGCTAAGCTGCCTGGGGAATTCTGGGAGTTAAAGTCCACTGTCTTAAAGTGGCTGGAGCTGAGTTAAAGTAATAGCCATACCAGTCCAAAGAAGCTCCAGTTGTGAGGAAAAGAAACAGTAGCTCATCTGGAAGGCAACAACTTGACCAAACAGAAGAGCAGCTGAGATTTCCAAACCAGTTTATTCAGAGTGGGAAGCATTGTGTAACCTCGCAATAGCAATTTCTCACTTGTCATATTTGCAGGGAACAAGGAAGGCACCTATTAAGTTACCCAACCACATTTCTTCCTAATCCATTACTGACTTTACACATTAATATCTTTCTTTTTTCTTCTTCTTCTGGACCAAGAAACAACACAAGAACGTCAGTTCAAGGTGCCTGGCATTGGTGACCAATCATACAGAGTTGTTACACTTAAATCCGTTTTTAAAATGTTAAATGGATCTTTGGCTTGATTTCCAAAGTTAGCCCTCAAGTCTCAGATGGAGACCTTATTTATTACAAAGGCGTAGAGAGTCCTGCTCCATCAGGGCTGGGGGCTGCTGCTTATGGTTTGAAGCGGAATCTGGAGTCCTCTTTTATCTGGTTGGCTATTCAGCATTAATCAGCTCTGTAAGTCACTGGTGACATGTTTATTAGAAAGCAGGATGCAAACAGCCATGCATAAATAGCCTCATCAGCACTTGGTGCTGATTTTCTCCACATTATAATTGCATGGGAAGGATTTTATCCAAAAGGTTAATAGATTTCACTTCATTCTATCTGGACAGCTTTCTGGCTCAACAGCTGGCACAGAAGATTGCTGCAAGGGCCCAACGGTGCCAGGGACATACAGCCTTCCAGATGTTGCAGCCCCAACACACAGGATCAATGCTCAGGGATCCTGGGATCTGCAGTCCAGGAATATCCGGGAAGCTACCGAAAACAGACACCTGATCTCCAGTCCCGGCTGAAAGAGCGAAAAGGACTGTTGGAGTCTGAGAGATTTTGGGAGACCAAGAATGGACTGGCACATGGGATGAGCAGGGGCACTCGGGTCCTGGGTCAGGGACTTCACCCAACAGGATCGGGCAGTCTGACTGCTCCACTGGCCAGCTAGCAGCTTGCCCACAATGTGCCCAGAATGCTACTTGTCTCAGCCAGCGGCCTATGCAGGAAGCAGCCTCATCTCTTCACAGCCGGGCACCTTCTGTGCCCGTGAGCCTGATGGGAGGAACCTGCTCCATCCCAAGGCTTCCCACCCAGGGACAGACAGACAGACAGACAGACGTGTCTGGGAGCATACCACACACAGAGCCTGGAATAACTGGAGGCTGACGTGTTCATGCTTAGCCTGAAAAGGTCGCCAGATAAAGCAGGGCAGGTTTAGCAGATCGGCATTCTCACTCCCTGGCTCACTCATCCTCTTTCGAGCCCCCCCCCCACCTTTGACAGAAGATGGCGTGTCCAGCAGTGGAGGGCCCATCCAGCAGCAGCCCCTGGCCAGGAGAGCGCTGGAACCTCCCTGAACAGGAGCAGCGTATCTGAATACTGGGGATCAGCAAGAAGGGAAGACCTTTCAGTTGGTGCCCTCTCAGAGCCACAGCTGGAGGGGGCTGCACCAGGCCAGGCCCTGAAGGCTTCCTGAGCGTGGGGAGGGGGAGGCCATCCCGGCCCTCTACCTGGCTTCTTCCAAGCAGAGGGGGGGAGAGCCTGGAGCCCACCTGGATGGGGCGGGGGACAAGCGCCACACCAAGCAACTCCTGGGGCCGCCGGCCGGGCGATCAGCGGCGAGGGGGACCTCCTGGCTCTACGCACAGAGTCCGGCTGCAAAACGCAGCCTTCGGGGGAAGAGAAGGACCCCCTCGGCAACCCTCCGGCTCGGCTCCGACTTCCAAACCGGCCCCCGCCGGACGGGAGGGCGGGGCCCGTAACCCTCGGCCAGGGAGGGGCTGGCGCTGCCCTCGGGCCCATCTGGAGGGCGGGGGGGGCGAGAAAGGCGCCTCCACGCGGTGCCTACATCCTGGCATCCCGGGAAAGGCGCCAAGAGCATGCCCCTCCCGCGGGGGACCCCTCCCCCGAAGACCCAGCCGCGCGAGGGGAGGGGGCGTCCCAGGGCCGGGCCTGCCCAGATGCTGCCGCGGCGCTCCGGTCCCCGCCGGAGCTTCTGGCCGCGGCGCCGGGAAGCGGGTCGCGCGCTGAAGCGGCCAAGGAGAGGAGCGGCAAGCCCCGAACTGCGCCCCCTCGCTCCAGCCGGGCTGGAGCCTCGGGGCCGCCGGAGGAGCGCGGCGCTGCTTTCTCCGCCGGAGCCCGGGCAAGACGCGGCGGCCCGCCCCCCGCCCTCCACGAAGCCCCCTCGCGCTCCGAGCCGCCCTCCAGCCCCCCCCCGCCTAGCCGCCCCCTCCGCCAGGCTTCCCGCCACCGACCTGCGGCGGGGAGATGAGCTCCGTCCGCGCTTGCCGGGACGGTCCGCCACCGCTCCTGCTCCTCCCGAGGGGCGCGAGGGGTCCGCTGGACTCGCCGCCGCTGCGCTTGTGCCCTCCGCCCGCCGGGGAGGCCCCGCCCCCGCCGCCTGCAGGTAGGCGCGCTGCACCCTGGGAGCTGGAGTCCGCGCCGCCTCCCCGCCGGGCCAGGTGCCCTGACGCTTCCCTCCGCCGCTCGGGCCGCCGCTTGGAAGCCGCTCTGCGGGCCCCGTCCCGGCTTTCGCCTTGGTGATCGGCCGGGGACCGCAGCCGCTCCTCGGGGCAGCCAGACCGCCGCGGCCTCGGATCGGGCACGACGCAGAGGCCGCCTCGGCGACCGGCTCAGGCGCCGCACCTGGAGCGGGAATGGCGCCGCGCTACAACTCCCCGGGCTCCCCGCGTGACGCAGGGCGTTGGAATGCCCCCCGCCCCCGCCCGGGCTCGCCCTGCCCCAGAGCGGAGGTGCGCCCTCTGAGCCGGTGCAGAGTGCATGGCGGAGCCAATTCGCCCCCCCCCCCACACGGCTGCGTCTGCATGGTGGGAAACGGGACCGAAACCGCCACTAGGGGGCAGCACTGGGGGATCCCCCGGTGGGAAAACGCTGGATTTGGAGGCGGCTTTTTTTGCAAGTTGTTCTTCGGTTGAGTCCGATGGATTCCGCCCAGTCTCCGCCGACGCCTTTATTGCTGGGATGCCAAGTAAAACGCCTGGTCCAAGTTAGTTCCGCTAATTTCTGCCTGTCGAGTCCAAAATTGCCGGGGCGTCTCTGGTCGCAATCGAGAACCACCGAAGCACCCAGCAGTTCTTCTGAATGCAGCCCCGCCGAATCCCTGCAGCCCTTGGAGGCCACTGTCCAGTGTTCAAACATGCACCCACGTTCTCACGTGAACGCTTTAAAGCACCTAACTCCCCTAGGTGGAGCCACGTGAACCGCTCTGAATTTCAGCAGCCAGCACAGCTCTGGACCCCCCCCACCCCCGGACTCAGCCAAACATCTGTGCCGCCCTCTGGTGCAGGGGTCCCCAAACTGGGCAATTTTGTGGACTTCAGCTCCCAGAATTCCCCCGCTGGAGCAGGGGTCCCCAAACTGGCAACTTTAAGACTTGTGGAGTTCATGCTGGCTGGGGAATTCTGGGAAGTTGGAGCCGTGCCTTTGGAGACCCCTGCCCCGGAGCCCTGAGGCAGGGGTGGCCCTGGCTGTCTTCCAAGGACTTGTAGAGCCTTTGGCGTTCCCTCCCTCATCAGGAGGGAAGTCCAGTGAAGTCACTCGCAAGATTGCTTCTCTTCACGGACCAAGCTGCTCCTTTTCCAGGCTGGTGAGACCCCATCAAATTGCTGCCCCGTTGACAGACACTAAAGGGGGGGGGCTTCCCTCCACATCTTCCAATTCTTGTACTAAGCTCCTCGCCCGGAACAGAGGTGTTTACCGGTGGGAGTCGGGACTCGGCTCCCCAGGTGCCCTCAGGTTTCAGGGAAATAGGTGATTTTGCGGTCAGAGCCACAGCTGGGATCACAAACTACCTCCCGAGTATACAAACCAGCGCCTGGGTTCATGGACTAAGCGCAGTGTTTCTCAACCTTGACAATTTTAAGGCATGTGGACTTCAACTCCCAGAATTCCACAGCCAGCATTGCAATGTTTAAGCAACATCTGTCTCCTGATGTGAGAGAGGAGACAGATGTTGCTTAAACATTGCCGATCCTTACAGAACAGCGCCACCTGTTTTAAATTGAGAGTAAAGCAACGAAGCCGCATTTAGTTTACTCCATTTATTCCAAGGCTCTGAAAGTCATGCAGATCCAGACGGGGCTAAAAGACATAATTCCACATTCTTTAAAAGAAACTAAATGTTTTTCCCCAGCTCCCCTGATGAGGGGTCGGGAGATAGCAAATCTTAATTTTAAAAATTGTGTATTACAAGGACAATTTTACTACAAGCTATTAAGGCTGACACAAAATGGCAAACTCTGAGGAGTTAGCTGGTCAAAGAGGCTTTCGGATGCCAGAAATTCAAACTCGATTCCTGAGTTACTGGAGAAGGAAGCTGCCTTCGCTCTTCAGTTCTGGCCTTGCAGCCTGGGAGTGATGTGTTTTGCAGGTCAACAAACATGGAAGAGGCCAGGCCAGGCCCGGCTGTCATAGAAGTGTAGATGGATACATAGCAACTTCTCCAGATGTTGGAGATGCCTCCCTTTCCCACCCACCCCCAGCATCAGAAAGAGGAGAACAGGGACCCAGGGCCGTCCCCAGCTGGCTTTGCAGACCAGAGCCTCCCCACCTTGGTGGGCTGTGAAGCCTCAAAGGGCTCCCGGAGTCAAAAGCTGATCAGACCAAGGGGAACTTGGCTCTCGGCTCCCCTTCCTTTGGGTTCCTGCAAAGGGGGGAAGAAAGAGGAGTTCGGCTCAAGTAGCCATCTTGCCCTCCTGCCCCACCCTCCCAGCCTGCCCCAGGCCAACCTGAGCCAGGGGTTGGGCTAGAAGACCTCCAAGGTCCCTTGCAACTCTTGTTCTGTTAACCCCCAGCCCCCCCCCCCACGTACTTCTTGCGCTTCCCGTTGTTCACTGTGCTTCTTGGCCTGGAAAGAGGAAATAACCCAGTTGCAGTCTGCAGAGCCAGCTGGCTCAGGACTTGGCCCACAGCTGGAGGCTCCAGGAAGAGGAGAGAGGCGAAGAAGCCTGGCCTCTGAGGAGGCGGCTGCACAGGTCTGGAGCCCCCACCTCTGCCCTCCTGCTCAGAGACCCCTGCAGAGCCCCAGTGTGGAAAATGAGCCGGGTGACTTTGGGCTGGTCCCTCTCTCTCAGCCTAACCTGCCTCACGGGGTTGTTGTGGTGGGGAAAATAGGAGGAGGATATCTTCGCTACCTTGAGTTATTTGTAAAAATAATAAAGGTGGGAGAAAGCAAACAAGCAAGAAAAACAGGGAGGGAGGGAGGGAGGGAGGGAGGGGAGGGAGGGGAGGCAGGGTTGTGTGAACTAAGAATTGCTTGTCATCTTCCACCTCCAGCAATTCTCCCCCATTCCCCCACCCCTCTGACCAGCCACCCAGGACAGCCGCTGTTCGGCCCCCTTCCTCACCTGCATTCACACTCCGTGTGCTCCGTGAATTGCATCACCTCTATCTTCGAAGTCCCCTTGCGGGGATCCACCCGCATGATCTACCCGAGGGGAGAGACAGCCACCGTTCAGTTGCACCCCAGCAGCAGTCCAAGGCTGGGCTCTGCTCTTCCCAGCCCCCAAGAGCTATCCTGACACCCCCCACCCCACCCTGTCGCCTCAGCACGAACAGCCCCTGACCTCCCGACCGACGGAGCGCTTTCCTGTAGCGGTGCACGTGAGGCTTTCGTCGGCGCAGCAGCCACCGCATCGCAACACGGTGACACAGGAGGGCCTGAAGAGGTGGGCAACTTCATCGGGGTGCTCATCGAGGATGGACACTAGCATCTCCCTGGTCTGGCAGACGCTGCGTTCATACACTTCCATAAAGGGCATCGCTGAGGAGGGGAGGAAGAGAGTCAGGCGCTGCCTCGGCCTTCAGAGCCCCTCTTGCCTTAAGCCAAGCGCAGCCTTCCTTCCCTGGGTTGGGGGAAAGGCAGGTGGGGGGCGGGTAATCCCTCCTCTTCTCCAGCCGGGCCATTTCTCCCCTCCAGGCCCCTCACCCTGGGGGAAACGCTGCATGCGGCAACCCTGCAACCTTTGCCCTCCCCAGGGAGCCCGTTCCCACATGCTCTGAGCGAGCAGATGGCAGGGCGCCTGTCCGCCAGAGATCTCACCCAGAGGTTCTGGCCTGGGGCAGGGGCAGAGGTGGGGGTCCCCTTTTCTGCCCCCGGCTCTTTTCAAGGGCAAGAGCGATGCTCTGGGCACCACCCCCATTTACCAGATAAGATCTTAGAAGGGGAACTTGCCTTGTCCCTGCACTGTCCCCGATGGCCAGCCCTGCAAGAGAAGAAAGGCCCAGTTAGCAAAGGGTCCAGCCCTGAAGCTGGCACTGGGAGCATCACGGAGGGCAGGAAAGCGAGAAAACCAGGAAGTGCCAAAGACAAGAATGCATCTGCACCCGAGCCACGGTTCTAGTCCTCCATCTGGGTGGCGGCAGGGTCAGTGTTTTTCAAATTTAGCCACTTTAATGTGGACTTCAATTCCCAGAATTCCCCAGTCAGCCTGGAGTGGAAGTCCACACATCCCAAAGTGGCCAACTTTGAAAACTGCTGGTGTGGAATGTTTTAACCCTCACCCAGTTGCCTTGTCCGCGGCAGCTCCTGCCCAGTGGTCACAATGCAATGGCTAACTTTTGAAATCAAGAAGCTTCTATGCCACTGGTGACCACTAGAGGGAGATGCAGCGGGGCTCCCCAGAAGCACCAACTTGCTCTGTGCATCATCCTGCCAGGCAAGCCGGCTGGGGTGGCCACCGGTGTTAGTGGAGAGTCTGCCACCACCTACAGAGGTGATTTAATTCTCCTCTGCAGCAGAGGGTCGTGAATTCTCCAACCTTAGAAGTCACTTTTATTGGTTACCCTGACTAAATAACAGATTTAATCTGTTTTTCCCCCGTGAGGAGTTAATCCCAGGTAAGATCCCCACCAGGGAACCCCAGAGTTTCTCACCTGGATGCAGAAGAGGATGGCAACTGCCAGCAGGTACGCAGCCATGGCCTATCTCCTCCTGGCTTCACAGCTGCTCAGAAGAAGGAGATGGGGTGAGATCTGAGCTGGGCAAATTTCAGACTGGGGTGGTGGTGGTGGTGAGGTTTAACAGGACAAGAGAAAGGCAGAAGCTGTTGGACAACAGCAGGCACAGAGTAGGCAAAGCCCAGAAGCTGGCAGGGCCTGGCAGTCCGTTCCTCTGGGATCTGCTGTCTGAGTGTGGAAAGCAAAGAGCAGCTATAAGAGGAACAGAGAGGGTCCAGCCCAAAGGTGGAGAAGGGGCAGAGAGGAGAAGCAATGGGGCACAGCCTATAGGAAAGAAACACATAGAGTGGAGTCACTCTCCACCTCCCGCTGGCCAGCCCCAAAAGTGGGGGGGAGACAGCCAGATCCCTGCCTGAGCCAGTAGGGGAAGGGCAGGAGCCTTCATGGCAGAAAGGTGCCAATGTGGGTGGCACCCTTTGGTTTGGTCCTGTGTGGCAAGGCCATGTGATGCTGAGCCCAGATTCCGCTGCATTTTTTGTGGCTGCACATAAAACCTTGGCTGTGAACACACGATGGAAAACACAAGGTGTTCCCCCCCCCACAAGGAACCCTGCAGATGTGCAGCCCCTCCCCTGCCCCACCTGCTGGAATAAGCACTGGGGTCGGTCAGGGGGACAAGTAGCCATCTGCTTTGGGGGCATCTCTCTGTTGACTTCAGCAGAACTAGGCAAAAAGCTGCAGGCCTGGCATTTTGCTCCTTCCCAATCAATTCCCATTCTGGGAAATTTTGCTGACCTTGCCTAGTATTAAGAATATAAAAAAATATTATTTAGTTTTTCAATAACTTATATATAAATTTTAATATTTTATAGATTGAATTACTTTTTTTTCTCTTTATATTTTTCATTATTACTCTACTTATATTTCCTTTCTTCTTTCTTTCTCTTTATTCTTTTTCTTTTTAAGTATTTTTTATTTTTTAATAATTATGTTTATATATATATATTATTGTTAATTACTTTATTAGTTGTTTAAGTAATGTATTTAGACTTATCTATGGTTTATATATATTTTTTAAGAATTTAAGAAACTTTAACTAAGCCTATATTCAGCTCTGGGAAGGTTGAGGGAGGGAACGGGAGGTCTGGGGTGGGTTGGGGAGGGTTGTTTTTTTTTCTTGTAAAAATTTTAAAAATTTTCAATAAAAAAAAAAGAATTTAATACAATTTAAAACAGTCCTGCTGTTTTTAGTCTATTGTAGGAAGCGCTTTTGGTTTAAGAGGTACAATACAAATATTTCTAACAAATATAGTAATGCTGCATATTTCAGTAGAAACTGTGGAAACATAACTTTAATAAAGTATAAAGTTATACTTTAGGATCTGTAATCTGTGCTCTTCAGGCAGAAATTAAATGTCCAGTTCAGCCCTTCTACTTTAGTAAGGCTCCTTGCTATCAGCCCCCTCTGCCACAAAGACCCTGCAGGAGAAGGGCAGTGTGGACAACCGTGGGATCTGGCAGGGTGAGAGCTGTGAATCATAAACACAAAGCTTTCGCTGTGTCCCTGCACAACAGATACAGTGCCCTTGCTGACCTTAATAGGGACATTAAAGAAATAGGTAAGGTATTTGTGATGATAACCCAAATAAGCAGGGGATCGTGGTCTGAGATAAAGAACTTGTTTTCGACAGGGAGAAGTGTGAATCAGGTATTACACATCAGTCATGCAAGAACAGAAAGACATTCAAAAAGAAAAGCCACCTTCTGGTTGGTGATTCAATTATAAGGGATGTAAATTTAGGAAAGGATACAGAAGTTTTGAAAGAGGTCAGGTATCTCCCAGGTGCTATTGCCAGTAGGGACAAGAAGCGTATTTCTAAAATAGTCAAGAATGCCAGTAAGGATTGTGATGTGGAGGCTATTATACATCTTGGCACTAACGATCTGTCCCAAAAAGATGCGCTCTCTGTGCAGAATGATTTCCAGAGCTTGGGGCAGGAACTTAGCAGAATAGGCTGTAGGCTTACTTTTTCAGAGGTTTTACCAGTGTATAAGGAGCAAAATGGAAAAGGCCAGCGTATAGCAGAATTCAATATGTGGCTAAAGGAGTGGTGTAAAGAGAAAGGCTTTGGTTATATTAGTCACAATGTCTGTAGCTGGTCCAATGAAAAAATGTACAAAAGGGATGGTTTACATCAGCGGTTCTCAACCTGTGGGTCGCGACCCCATTTGGGGTCGAACGACCATTTTACGGGGGTCGCCAAACAACGCGATCCGCCATTTTTTCCCCTCAGGGCGGCGCCGCGCATGCGCGGCGTGTCCTTATGACCAGGGTCGCCGTATAAAAAGGTTGAGAACCACTGGTTTACATCCATCAAAAAAAGGGACTGAACTACTCGGCAATAAATTCACAGATTTTCTGGAGGAATATTTAAACTAAACAGCAGGGACAGTGAATTAACTGATACAGAACATCCCTTCCCCCCGCAATCTAAAAATTATTGGGCTACCAGTGCATGTAACATAGATGTGTGTGTGGACAAGAATATCAACCTTGCTGTCAAGCAAAATCAAGCTTTTAATAGCGAGTGCCAAACAAGTGCACTAACCAAATAGGTGGTAAGAAAATAGGGGAACTCAGGCACCACACAGGTTATGTAGAAAGTAAACACAGGGTCAGTTATCAAGGACTCAAATGTCTATATACCAATGCACAGAGTATGAACAGCAAACAGAGTGAACTAGAAATTCAGGTTAATGAGGGCAGATATGATATTGTTGCCATTACGGAAACATGGTGGGATGAAACCCACAAATGGAACACAGCTAGAGGGATTTAAATTATTTAAAAGAAACAGACCAAGTCCTAGTGGACAATCACTTAAATATGAGCCAGCAGTGTGCTGCATCTGCCAAAAAAGCCAACACAGTGCTAGGCTGCATTAACAGAGGGATAGAATCAAGATCATGTGAAGTATTAATACCACTTTACAATGCCTTGGTAAGGCCACACTTGGAATACTGCATCCAGTTTTGGTCACCACGATGTAAAAAAGATGTTGAGACTCTAGAAAGAGTACAGAGAAGAGCAACAAAGATGATTAGGGGATTGGAGGCTAAAATATATAAGGAACCGTTGCTGGAATTGATTATGTCTAGTTTAATAAAGAGAAGGACAAGGGGGGATATGACAGCAGTGTTCCAATATTTCAGGGGCTGCCCCAAAGAAGAGGGAGTCAAGCTGTTCTCAAAAGCATCTGAAGGCAGGACAAGAAGCAACGGATGGAAACTAATCAGGGAGAGAAACAACCTAGAACTAAGGAGAAACTTCTTGACAGAACAATTAACCAGTGGAACAACCTGCCTCCAGAAGCAGTGAATGCTCCAGTTTTTAAGAAGAGACTGGACAGCCATTTGTCCGAAATGGTATAGGGTTTCTTGCCTGAGCAGGGGGTTGGACTAGATGACCTCCAAGGTCCCTTCCAATTATTATTTATTATTGATGATGATGATGATGTAGTTGCAGTGCAGCTCAGCACACAGCCATGCCCCCTCCCCCCCAAAAGGGGCCCAAATTCTCCAAGGCATCGGAGGGTGAGCTCTAAGGCTGGCTGCCTGTCAGGCCTCCAATGCAACTCGGAGGGTCCCGACAGGCCAGGCAGGGGTCTGCAGGTGTTACGCAGCAGCCTCTGGGTCCCTGGGTGCAGCTGCGGGATGCTTCGGAGGCTGGTCCGCTCGCTCTTCCCTTCGCGCCCCGGAGCCGACTTCGACAATTGCACCCGGTGCCCTTCACCTCACGGACCCCTTAACCTGACAAGCAGGCAAAGCCCCCCCCCCCGCCACCTCAATAAGCGACGCTTGTGGGTAGCTCCCACGTAAATGTGTGGATTCCACCTAGTGGAGCCGCCCTGATGGCCGGCTGGCGGGTGGGGTGGGGTGGGGTTCGGCCATGAAACTCCATTAGCTGCCCCAGAGAGGAAAAGCCCAAAATATTGCAAAGGCTGCATATCCTGGTTTAAAGAAAGCCGTTTCTCCACCAGCAGGCATCTTGGCTTGGCTTCTTGAATCCAGCCAGTCTTCTCTTGTAGGGGACCCCCGAAAGCTGCCCTGAGTTTTCCAACGTCCAACGCCCCTTTCGAGAGGCCCGGCTGGATGCAGCCAAAGGGGAAAGGGAGGGACTGGGGGGTTCTGTGAGGAGGGGAGCGCTTTGGTCCCCTGCCGCTGTTTTTCAAACTCGGCAATTTTAAGTTGTGTGGACTCCCAGAATTCCCCAGCCAGCATCCACCATCTGTCAGTGGGGAAATTCTTTTGGGGTCTCCGGGGTGCTTGAAAGAAATCTATCTGATTGCTAAGCGTTGACCCTGACTCAATGACCCATAATCCAGGGCGTTTGGGGACGAGTGACCTTGATGTGGATGGGAAGGGCGGCAGGGCTGCTGGGTGATCAGCCTTCTTCTCCCCATTGATCTCTCCTTCGACCCCCACCGTAGTGTCAGCGTCCCCCGCCCTGGAAGAGGATCGCGGCCGCTCTCCGGCCGCCTGACCAGGAAAGAGCGCCGTAGCCCCGGAGTGCGGCGGCCTGACGGCAAAGGGCGCAAAGCGAGGCCAGGCCCTGCCCGGCGCCCGCCCTCCGGGTACACTGCCCCTGCCCAAGGAGGCTCTGTGCGGCATGACGCGGCTACGGTCCTCGCTCTGCTTTTTTTAGCTTCCCGGACCAGCTGGGCGAGAGGCACCGACGCCAGCAGGCCCTCCTCGGCTGAGCCGGCTTTTACCTCACCGGTGACTCAGCCTAGGCTGGGAGGCGTGTTCCCCGCGTCACTTGTGAATGTACCCTACGGGGCCGGTGGGGGGCGGAGAGACGGGCGCGCCTCCACGCTGAGATGCGCGAGAAGCCGGTGCGCGGCCGGCCGGCGCAAGGCAGGCGGGGCGGCGAATGCCGTCAGCCGCGGTGGCGGCGGCGGCGGGCTCGGTCCGGCGGGGCCGCGGCTTCCCGGGCGAGCGCGCGCGCGCGAGGGGCGCAGGGCTAAGAATAGCGCGGCTGACGCGCGGCGCGCAAGAGGGAGCCGCGCCGGCCCCCGCGCTAATTTGAGAGCCGCCGCGCCCGAAATAGCATCCGCGGGAGCTGCGGCGCGAGCGGGATGACGCGGGCACCGGCGCAGCGGCTGAATCAGAGGCCGGCGGGGCTCACGCGGCCCGGCCCGGCCCCGGCAGCCTCTGCCCCCCGCGGGCCGCGCCCCGATCGCGGGTCGGGGCTACCGA